CCAACCAACTCAAACCCAACCAACCAATCCAACCCAATCCAACCCAATCCAACACTACTACAACACAACACAACACCACACCAGCGCCCCAACCCCAACCCTAGTCATCTCAACCCCACTCAACCTGAACAACTCGAATTCAACCAACCAACTCAAACCCAACCAACCAATCCAACCCANCGCCCCAACCCCAACCCTAGTCATCTCAACCCCACTCAACCTGAACAACTCGAATTCAACCAACCAACTCAAACCCAACCAACCAATCCAACCCATTCCAACCCAATATAACACAACACAACACAACACAACCGAGCACCACCCCAGCGCAACCCCCAACCCCACCCAACCCAACCCATCTTAACCCCACCCAACCCAACCCAACCTGACCCAACCCAACCCAACCCAACCCAACCCAACCCAGCCCAACCCAACTCACCCACCCTACCCTCCTCCCCCAAACCCTGGCCCACACCACCCGACCACACCCAAACTCACCCTGTTCAACCCAAGCTGACCCAACCCTACCCAACCCAACCCAACCCAGCTCAACCCAGCTCAACCCAGCTCAACCCAGCTCAACCCAGCCCAGCCCCATACTCGCCCAAACCAGACCAAACCCCAAAACAAAAAACCAAGCCCAACCCTGACCAAACCCAAATCCGACCCAAACACCAAACCAAAACCAAACCCCAACAGAACCTTTAACCAGCCCCCAACCCGAACCAAAACCAGACCCAAACTAGACCCAACCAATTCAGATCTCAGTTTCACTGCTTCTGATCGTGGACCAGAGATTGCTACTAGAAAATCATCTGCGAAGCGGATGTAATGCATCCTTCGGTTCCAATGCGTGGGATTCAGACGCGAAGCGTCTGCTCTTCGAGCCTTGTTATATTCACGGATAGTTGTTTCTATAAAGTGGTCGAGTTCATTAAGGTATATATTTGATAGTACGGGACTAAGGCCGAAGGGCCGCCGCCTGGCGGCGCCTATGGTCGCCTCTTCAATCTCTCCATGTGGCATATGAAAAAAGCTTGTAGTCCAGAGCGGATTAGTTTGAGAATCCGTTTATCTCGGATTGTTCGCCGGATGATGTTATACAGAGTTCCATGATTTATGGCTCCAGGGCCTTCGGCCTCCAGGGATCCTTCGCTAACCCACACCAAACCGAACCCCAACCCAACCACACCCAAGCAAACCCAACCCAACCAAACCCAAAAGGAACCAAACGCAAACTGAACCACACCCAACCCAAACTCAAACCCAAACCAAACCAGACCCAAACCAACCCCAAACCTTAACCAACCCAGCCCCAAAGCCAACGCTAACGTAAAACTCAACCCAAACCAGACCCAAACCAACCCCAAACCTGACTCATCCCCGAACCCAGCCCCAAACCTGGCCCAGGGCCCACCCCAAACACAACCCCAAAACAAACCCCAAGCCCGAGTCAAATCCAACCCCGGGCCAAACCCGACGCAACCCAACCAACTCAACCCAACTCCAGCCCAACCCAGCCCTACCCAACACCAACAACACAAACCCAACTTAACCAAATACAGCAGAACCCAACCAAACCCAACCCTCCCCAAACCAGCCAGCCCAACCCAACCAAAACCCAACCAGCCAACGAATCCGAACCAACTCAACACAGCCCAAGGAAACCCAACCAACCAGCCAAACAAAACTCTACCAACCACCCAAGCCCAACCAACCAATACGAACCCAACCAACCTGACCCAAGCACCAACCCAACCCAACCAGCCAACCCAACCTGACAACCAAACTCAAATCCAACTAGCCAACTAACCCAACCAACACGGACCCACCCAACTCAACTCAAAGGCCAGCCCAACCCCCACCACAATCCCAGTCCCCACCCAAACCCCAACCCTACCTGGACCCGGACCCCCATCCCAACCCCTACCCCCACCTTCAACCCCACACGCACCCCAACCCCCACTTCAAGCCAAGCCAACCCACCCCACACCGCCCCCCCCCTCTCCTCCAACCCCACATGACCTGACCCAACCCCACCAGATCCACCTAACTGAACCCAGTCCAGTCAAGCTGAAACCACAAACCAAACCCCAACCCAACCCAACCCAACCCAACCCAAATCCAAATCCCAATCAAACCCAAACCCCAGCCCAGACCAGACCAAACCCCACCCCCAAGCAAACCCAAACCGAACCTAGATCGAACCCAAAACAACCAAGCCCAAACCAAGCCCAACCAAACCCAAACTGAAGCACACTGAAACCTAACCAAACAAAACCCCACCCCAAAGCCAACCCGAACCCGAGCCTCAATGCAGCCCCAAACAGAACACCAGACTGAATCCCAAATCCAACCCCAACCCAACCCCAACCCAGACCAATCCAACCCAAAGCCAAGCCAAACCAAGCCAACCCAACCCAACCCAAACGACCCAACCTAACCAAACCTACCCAAACCAACCCAACCCAAACCAAACCAAAGAAAACCCAGCCAAACCAAACCCTATGTTGAGATTATGCAATCGTATGGAGAGCAGCACAGCACATTTGTCATGGCTTCTGCAACAATAGAACACATCGACATGATGGCCATCCCAAAGGCAAACCCCATTGCAAGCACAACAACCATGTGCATGCCTCTAGCCCAGGAATACGGCACTCAACCACAATCAGAGAATCAAGCACAAGCATGCACGGATATACGAATGCCCAAAAAGAGGGAAGCGAGGAGAGAGGGAAATCCACTGTGACACATTTGACGTCTCTTCATACCTTTCCCATGCACTTCTCCAGGTGGGGCGCATAGCGACCTGCCACAACCGGCCGACCGCAATTCAAACACTCAAAGTTCTCGCTGGCAACAGCAGGATGTGTTTGCCCAAATACATCAACCATGGCTGCCATCTGCTTTCCTGCGGAAATACCTCCACTCTGTGGTGTTTGTTGTTGCTGGGCCAGTGGAAGACCCATCTGATCAGGCGTGCCTGATGATGTGGATGCCTCCACTGTGAGGCTGCCCTTTGTTCCCTGTTCTTCTTCATGCTCATGTTGCACCTCCCCATTATTCTGCTCCTCCTCACAACCCTCCCAACCCTGACTTGGAAAATAGTTCAGTCCCAGCCGTGTTGCACGGTGAACCTCCGTTGCCACGTCAACAATCAAGGAGTCCAGTAGATCTGCAAACACCGCAAGTTCCTGCATTCACACATCCCACCCACCCACCTCGACAAATATACACACCAGGCAATCAAACCAAGACAGGAACACAAAACCATGAAACTCACTCCTCATCAGTCGGATCTCTTTGAAGCCAACACACCAGCAAAACGAACATTTTTCAGTTTCACACTCCGACTCAACATAACATCTCTATAGCGGCAACCGGGGTTGCATTGGCACCAACCACCAACATTGACCACCAACCATTTGGACCCCACCAGTTTGAGTCAAGCAGCCGAGAGCCACTGCCTACAGACTGGGCCATCTTTCCAAGCAACTGGCAGTCAAGTGACGATTCACAGGTATAGAACACATGGGATGACATGTGAGAATGTATAGAACACTTGGGATGACATGTGAGAATGTATAGAACACTTGGGATGACATGTGAGAATTAAGCATCCGACGATGGTGTTTTGCAGTCCTGTCATCGTGGTGGTGGAACAGGAGGGGGGGCTGGGTGGCTAAAGCTCCAGAGCAGCATGATGACCACACTGATGCTCATGAAGAGGAGCTTTAGTTGCCATCTGCATTTCCATTGTATTGGCTTCGGGTAGGCACTTCGCCACCTCAAGGAAAGTTATGTCTTACAACTCAATCTGTAAGCTACCCTTGGTACCTCCAGGAAAATTATGACTTACAGCTCAATCCGTAAGCTACTCTCGGTACCAAACTTACTTTAACCAATCATGTCACGGTACAATCCAGTATCCGGCACACCAATCCTCTGTTATGTAACTGATTGAAATGCAATCCACAACACACTTCACACGTTCCCATACACATGCAATTGTGAAGCAGACTTGGAGAAGGCAAATCCACACAAAACTGGAGATAGATACACATCCGAAGCTCAATAATCCCACTTCCTTCTCCAACCAATCAGATGTACAAAATTTCCCAGAATCTCAACCTTGTTTTGACAACCACAAACAAATTCAAACAATTTTTCATCAAAATAATTGGAGCCTTCTCCTTCCTCCATCCATCAACTCTGCAGATCCTAGCTATGGCGGCCTTCGGAATCAAGCCCCCACGCCTCAAGACCTGCAGACCTTCAACGCCATCAAACCATCTCCTGTGCTTATCAAGAATGACTCAGTGTCCGGCCTGGATGACAGCGTCAGTCCCCTGGAGAAAGAATACCACCCCAACTCGATAAAGAAGGTATCAATGACCCCCAAGAGGAGAAAACATGGCAGCGTGTAACTCCCAACAACACAGCTACATCACATGCAGCACCCGTTGCATCCCTGCCTTTCATTCACCAACCACCACTCCAGATTTGGCGGTCGTCTCACTTTCCACAACGGCGGTGACCTCCTCACGCAAACAGAAAACAAAAAGAACCCAAAGTCAATTGCTGCTACATTTTTCTACCGCTAGACCCTAGCCTACCGGACCTCCCTATGACCTAGGACCGAACAAGAAACCAACGGCCTGTCAAACCAGCGACCGGTACCCGTCCCACGAAACAGAGGGGAAAATCTTAGGGCCTGGGAGTCAATTTGCAGAAAAGTCCTTGTGCGGACCGGCCCTGTATCAGTTACCAGTAAGGGCAATAAACTTTAGAAATCGCAAAAGTGGCACGGCTATGTTACAACTCGCTAAGAAACTGCAAGTTCATTGCATTCCTACCCTCCTGGGGAGCAAGACCCTTTCTGTGCAGCTTCATAAAACAGCACAACGGACTTTGCAGACTTGAGAAGTTCCTTCCTAGTAAACCACTGGTCTTCTGTGAGTGGTTGCAACAGGAACTTCACAAGATACTCACAGTCGGGGCCTGTTCCCCACTGATCCTCAATGCTCTTGACCTCATATCCTTTGCCAGGGAGAGGAGTACCGAACTGAGGTGGCCTATCTGGAAACACATTCAAGGGAGTGAAAGGCAGCAGCTTGGATGCATGGAAGACAGGGTAGGTCCTGAGCTGAGGGGGTACAACCAACACAGAGGAAGGACCAAAAGGATCTGCCCCCACTGTATCTAGAACTTGCCATGGGCCATAGTAGATGGGCAACAACTTTCATGGGATGTCCTGTTCATTAGATAGTTCAAAACGTTTCACCCAGACCTAGTGCCTTGAATGAATGAGGGAAGGCAAGCGATGCTTGTTGGCCTGTTCAATCATTCTCTTCTATCATTTGCACATGTTAGTTCTTGCCTTCTCTAGCTCTATTTTTCAGAACCTCAGGGTTCTGGCTCCTACCATTCTGGGGAGCGACAGTCCGGTTCCTATTCCCCCAGCAAGTCAATATGAAATACATAGACACACACACGCTCCTTCCCATTATGGCTGAGAGGCCTGAGTAGGCAGCATTGATTACTTCCGTGAGGAAGGATGTACCACCTCTCACCCCTGCCTGATGTAGCCTGTCCTTTCTCAGCCTGGAAATCTGTCTGATCTCAGATCTACTCCTCTCAGCTATGAAGCTGTCGGGTATCTATGATTGTACAAGAGCATTCTGAAACACTTATGCGTCTTATGAAACCTCTTTATCTCAATAACAGCATTAGCATTGTTCCTGTGTAAGCCATAACCTGTAAACCCTAGGTCTTGATGTTGTTCTGATTTATCAATAACTGGTCATCCAGGTAGAAGTTACATCTCCTATACACTAAATCTGTCACTGTTTTCCCTCGAGCTTCAGTCTGGTTGTTTTTTGTATCTGCTACCCTTAAACCCTAAACCCTCTCTGTTTTCTGTCGAACTCCCTTGTTGCTATTCCCCAAAAAAACCGTAATTCCAGTGTCAAGTGTGTGAAGCACTTAAAATGCTTCAGTCCGGTCCCTTTTTTCCCCGGTTCTGGCTCCTGCCATTCTTACACTGACCTTGGTCCTAAAACCCTAAACCCTTTCAGATACCGTAAACCCTGTCTTACTATCCATCCGAAAATTTTCCTATCCTCATTAACTATTACTTACTTCGTCCCTCTCTCCGTTTAAACAAAAGCTGCCACCCTTGGATGACTGCTACTGCTCCCTGACCTAGTATGTTCCGTTTGAATGCAATCATGATGTCTTTCTCCTGTTGTGGTTGGTGTCGTATCTGGGTTCTCACCCCTTTCCAGAGAGCCTTGAGATGTGTTTCTATGAGTGCAAGGAATTTCTCTCTAGCCTCTTGTCTGTGCATTGTTGTTCCTTCCATTGTGACTTGACATCGACGCTTCCAGATGATCCAAAGAGCATATTGACGTATTAGCTGGAAAATATGTTTCTGAAAGGGTTTCCACTGTTTGGGAATCCTCTGTCCCAGCAATAATGTGATCTTGGCATCCGGAAAGGGATTGCTTATCATTCGATTCCAGATGTCCTTAGCTTGTTCCCAGATATGTGATGCTTCCTCACACTCCAATAAACAATGCAACATTATTTCTGGTATTCCTTGCGGGCATGCCCTACAGATTTCTCCATCCTCGCTTCTCTGTCTGTGACTTCTTCTTTCATTGAGCCATGTGTTGACCGGGAGAGCAACATGGGCTATTAGCCATTGCATACTTCTGACTGGACCCATCCTAATGGCCACTATTCTAGGCCATGGAATTTTTGACAATTGTCCTATGGGGACTCCCACTCTCTTCTCCCATCTCTTGCGCAAAGTGGGTGTCATGGAGCATGAGCGGGTCCTCAATCTGTACCCTATTCTTGTGGTGTAATGCAGAATATTGATTCTCCTTGACACTCGTATTTGACCACTTCTGATGTTCCATGCCCATTCTGCAGGGTCTACCTCCAGTTCTTCGATTGGTACAGTTGATCTATATATCGTAAAGACGTCTGTCTCTACCACCCTCACCTTCCGTACATAGTGTTTCAGGATGCTTAAGGGTGTTTTGGTAGCCATATCCAATTGAGACGTGATGCTGGAAGAATGAAGTATGTCAAACTTCTCCGCTATTAGCCAGTCAGGTCTAGAGGTCTCCAATCCCCATATTCTGAAGACCTCTTTAGGTTCCCTGTCGTCCTCCCATGTGGCCCAGTCTCCCCTGCCCCATTGTTTTTCAGATTGCAACAACTGTTTCCATGCTTGTGGTATGGCCTCCTTCACCAATGTCAGATTTTCCGATAATTTGTGACATCCCTTCAGCTGAGTCCTTAGTTCCACTTCTGTCTTCCATCTTTTTTCCCTCTCTTCCCAGAGATGTTTGATCTGCCATACTCCATGTTCCAGCCATCTTCCCCACCTTGTGTCTGTTACCGATAGTGTGAGTGGTTTCCCTTGACTGTCTTGGATACCTGCATTGCAAAATAATGGTTGTCTGAGCACTTCTTCCCTTGCTGTAGGTTCTTTGACTCTTGCCGGGAAGATGTCCTTCCACAGCTTTATGAGTTGAAGCCAATAAGAGGGAGATCGAATTTCCTCGTCCTGACGTTCGATATTCACTTCCCTGGTCCCAACTTTTCCCCAAGTTCCACTCATTATCCAAAACTGGCCTGACATATTACTCGGCATTTTGTACCTTACCATTTGTCTTATGTTTTCTAACACTAATGATGTCCATGAAAGGTTTGGTTGAGAAATTAGCTTTGTGACCCATTTGGTTTGAAGCGCCTTTAATTGGATGTATGGATCCAGTATGCCAAGTCCCCCCTGAAGTTTAGTTCTAGTGACATGTTTCCAAGCTACTTTAGATATGCAGTGCTCAGTATTTGGCTTGGCTGTCCAAAGATATGAGGCCGCTCTTTTTCTTAATTGGGCAGTTGTTGCTTTTGGCGGAGACGAGATAGACCCATCATACCATAGCATGGAGAAAATAGAAGCATTGAGTATCAGTGCTCTTCCATATATTGAATCTATTGATGTATACACTGATGACCATGCTCCTAGTTTTGTCAAAATCTTTGACATTAAGTCCGCTGCCATAGAATAGTGTGTCCCCCCTTCTGTTATTTTGATACCTAGGTATCTGAGTGGAACCGTAGGGGTGATCCACTGTAGCCCCTCTGGACTGTTGAGAGGAACGTCTTCTTCTTGTCC